TCAATAAAAGTTTTAAGAAGCGTTTATTAACTGACTTTATTTACTTATTAATATGGTTTAATTATATTCCTCACAATAACACTTGACTTTATTGTTTTTTTAAGGTTTTAACTTTGTTATTTAAAAAAAAAAACTTTGGAGTTTAGCCTTGTGTAAGTCTGAAATTTAATTCATTATGGTCTTAAAGTCGTAAAAAGTCCTAAATTTGACTTTATGAAATCTGCAGAAACCCTGAGAGAGGCATCACTGCATTAGATGGAAATTATATTTCCTAAAAGTTTAGCTTGATCATATTCTTAAATGACTTTTTTTCTAGTTTATACATCACTGCTTATAGGACTCATGTCAAAGTTGCATTGTTTGATTTGTGGCTGATTTGATCAAATATTTCAAAGATAGTTTGACTGAAATATGAACACAACTTGGAGCAAAAGATATCAGCACAATCCAAAAAATGGCGGATTGCTTAACCATACTTGTTTTTTGTGTCATAGTTGTGATTAGGGATGCACATATTGTTTCAGCATTGATATTGCAATGTGCGCATCCGCAATAGTCACTACGCAAATATATGCACTGCCCAGTCTGAATTATAGTTGACCTGCAGCTACAGAATTGAATTTAATTGCTGTATTTATACTGAATTTAAGATTTCTGCAATAAAAAAAATTCTTACATTTCAAAGCAAAAACAAGATTATTTCACTTACCACATAGGCAGATAATTTCCATAAAACTCTTAATTTTGACTTATTTCTTCTGAAGTTTGGGGTTGGCGGGGTGTAATACATGAAGGTGGATTCAGATGAAGGCAGATTCACCCTGCTTTGACTAAACTCTTGGCATTTCTAATTTACTTGATCCTAATGATCTAAGGCAGTGGTTCTCAAAGTGGGGGTCGGGACCCCCTGGGGGGTCGCGGGACAATGACAAGGGGTCGCTTGGTGATTTCCAAAATTTAAATAAATTTTATTCAACTATTTGAATTGTCATATGTTATTCATAACCCACAGAAGATTAATAGTTGCGTTAAAGAAACAACAACACACAAACAAAAATCAGCCATCAGCTTTTAATTTTTATATTAAAATGTAATTAAATTAAAAAATGACCAAAAAAAACATTATATGTTGCATTTATGTGTTGTCAATATGCTCATGTTTATATGGGCCTATAGTTGTGTCTGCAACGTTTATATATTTACAGTATAACCACTTTGAAAAATGGGGTTCGCGAGTCACTGACATTGTTATTTTGGGGGTCGCGGGCTGAAAAGTTTGGGAACCCCTGATCTAAGGGATCTGTTAAGCTTGTATTTAGTGAGCATATCTGTAATGTGTTGAGGTCCTAGGCCATTTAGTGATTTATAGACAAGTAGAAATACTTTAAAATCTATTTAGAATGTAACTGGAAGCCAGTGTAAAGACCTGAGGACAGGTGTGATGTGCTCTGATTTTCTGGTTCTGGTTTCTGAAATGCGTCTAATTGAAGCAGATATTTATTTGTTTGGAGTGCCTGGTGCTATTTTGACTCCTTACTACTAATTTTATACCATTACATATTTGCAGATAAACCAAGTGCATACATTTCAGCACATAACAGTGTTTTGGATTTTCAGCAAATATATGCAGTATAAATGTCATAAATGGTGTTAACGGATAGCTGTGGAGTAAATACTGTTTCAGATGATAAAACAAGTGCCCTACGTTCTGAAAAATAAAGGTTTTTAAAGATGTAAGATGAGCTGAAGTAATCTAAATGGAAATGAGGGGAGGAGGAGTTGGATCTCTGTTGAATGGGTTAATATAGGGCTGGATCAGGCCAGCTGCTGTTGAGGTGAGTCTTGAGCGCAGCAGCTGTTTCAGGCCGATCTGCTGCAGGTAGGTGAACACATCATGCCATGTTTTCCTGGCACAGATGGCTTGCATCACTCGTGCCTGCAGAGGCTGAAGCAGCGCTAATGGAGCATTATTGGTTCTTGGAGTAGCGGGCCAGAAAAACAGAGCAGCATGGTATATATTTTTCCTATTTCTGGCTTGTCATTACTGCGGGTACACCGTCATGCGCTGATTTGATTTGCAGTCATAAAATGGTGATTAGGGCAGCGTTTCACTTGATATTGCCCATACTGTATAGATAATCTTTCTGAGCTGAGGCACAGGAAAAAGTACATCTGGAAGTGAGCTAGCCTGAGTTGTTCGTCAGCTGGTTGATGTTTTTATTAGAAACTGAGAGATATTACATGCTTTAATCGAGTTTGGGAATCACTGATGAAAAAAGTACATGACTTCAACAGAAAAGACACGGTCATGACTCAAGCGTCTTTTAAAAACCCTTTCCAGCAAATGTTCAGACGCGATCTTCTCTCCAGAACATCATGTGTTTACATGTCTCAGAGTTTAAGACATTTTTCATTAAGATCATGTATTGAGGATTGAGAATCAGACGGCTGCGCAAAGTTTTCTTTTGGACATTCTAAAGATTCTCAATAGGGTTCCGGTCTGGTCTTAGCCTGTACATGTGTAAAAATGTAAAAGCATGTGATGTCTCATGCTTCTAATTCTAATTGGATTAATCCTGGTATAATTATCTTGGATTAAGCCCATGACACCAGGGAAGTAAAAAATCCATTGATGGAATAACCTGGTCTTTCAGTACATATACAGTTGAAGTCCAATACAGTTGAATTATTAGCCCCCTGTTTATTTTTTTTAAAGGAGAGAAAATTTTTCAACACATTTCTAAACAAATTAGTTTTAATAACTCATTTCTTCTTCATGACAGTAAATAATATTTGACTAGATATTTTTCAAGACTCTTCTATACTGCTTAAAGTGACATTTAAAGGCTTAATTGGGTTAATTAGGTTAACTAGGCAGGTTAGGGTAATTTGGCAAGTTAGTATAACAATGGTTTGTTCTGTAGACTATCAAAAATATAGCTTAAAGGGGCTAATAATTTTGCCCTCAAAATGTTATAAAAAAATAATAAAAACGGCTTTTGCTCTAGCTGAAATAAAACAAATAAGACTTTCTCCAAAAGAAAAAATATTAGGCGACATGTTGTGGAAATTTCCTTGCTCTGTTTAAAATAATTAGGGAAATATTTAAAAAAAGAAAAACAAAAACAAAGGGGGGCTAATAATTCTGACTTCAGCTGTACATACCATTTCTGAACCTTGATCTGACCAACTGTAGCATGCCCAGATCTCAGCAAAGGTACCAACTTGTATGGTCTGCACTAGGCATGATGGTTGCAAAACTTGATCCACCTCTCTTGTTATCCTGATCGACCCATCATCACTCTGGAACAGGGTAAATCTGGACTCATCAGATCACATGACCTTCTTCCATTGCTCCAGACTTCAATCTTTATGCTCCCTAGAAAATTGAAGCCTTTTTTCTTGATTAACTTCACTGATAAATGTTTTTCTTAAGGCTACACAGCTGTTTAGTCTCAATCGCCTGAGTTGCGCATTGGAATGTGGAAAAATACTCTGTTTCATAATGTATTTTTTTCTTTTTTTCTTTTTTTGTGATTGGCGATTGCAGTCATTCAAGATTTTTCTCTGATCATATAAACTACTAGTCAGTTTTTATGTTTTTTTTTTTTTAAGAAAATTATTCTGTACATCAGGGCGGCATTTATTAAATGTGAAATATTTATTAAATTTTTAAACAACTGCTTCTTTATTGTATGTAGTTTCAAATGAAATTTTTACTCCAGTCATTATTGCTTTTTTTACTAGTTCATTAATAATAATATTAACAATAATAATAATCAATATTATTTATATTAGGGTGATTTCTGAAGGACTCTGAAGACTGTAGTAATGAAGCTGAAACTTAATTTTTAAAATCACTGGAATAAATGATTGAGTTAAATGATAAACTACTTCTGAACAATTATTTTATAGTGCAATAACATTTTACAATTTTACTATTATGCCAATAATTAGGTCATTTTTCACGACCACAGGAAGTGCCCTCTGACATTATTTGTTAGAGAAATTAGTTGTTTAAGGAATGGGAATCTACTCTCTACATCTGTTAAAGTTAATTAACTTGTTACCAACTGAAGCATAAGCATCCATGCTCTAATTATCTATTGGGATTATCCTACCCATTTGCCTAGTTAAATCCAGGTTGTGATTTTTGTTCTTTTCTTTTTTCTCTACATTTAAATAAGAAATATTAAACAGAAATATTTTGTTGAATATTGGACCTGTCAGTATCCAGTGTCAAATGATACTTAAGAAATGCTGAATCATCCTATATATATAATTATTTTCTCAAGCTTTAACAAAACATTTTGTAAAATAAAGGTTGTAATCCCCCCCCCCCCCAATATATATATATAAGCACTATATATATAAAATTTAAATAAATTATTACAGACATAACATGATAATACAGATCAATATTCTGATACATTTATAGTGGTCTTTTACATAAATATGAAACCAAACCATATTGGTGATCACAGTTAAACCTGTTTGCACAGATTTCTTTATATAAATCAGTTAAAGGAGAAGTCTTCATCTTCTCAAAATATGTGATCATAGGTTGCCATGTCTCGTAAAATTTTTGGACAGATCCCTTCATTAAATACTTAATTTACTTTAATTTCAAATATAAAATCAGATCACACATCCACATTGAAGCTTTAGGTGAAGCTGCTGAATTCCAATCAAGTAGTATTCTTCTCCTTCCTAACAAAGTAGCGAAGGTGATAACATTTTTTTTCTTGTTTGTTAAAGATATCTTGTGTTTTGGTACACCAAAAATAGCTAACTCAACACCAGGTTTTAGTATTTCTTACTAATATTAATAATGAAACTGTTTTGCTGCTTCATATTTCTGAGCAAACTGCTATTTTTTTCAGAATTATTTCATGAATTAAAAGTAAAATATAATAATATTGTCTTCAGTGTTACAAACTAAATGACCCTGAGTGTAAGTCATATTCTATATATGAATACAATGTCTTTCTCTTCTGCAGGCTATAGATAAGCACTGTCGAGTGAGCGGAGGTTTCTCTGGTGTGAAAGACGTCTACTCCTCCAATCCCACCTATGATGACGTCCAGCAGAGCTTCTTCCTGGCTGAAACGCTCAAGTAAAGAATCAGCTCATTTACTCACACTCATTTACTCTCTCATGATCTCTTTCAGTTCGTTATGCGAGTATGCATTAGAACTACATATTATACCAGGCCCGTAGCCAGCCTATTAAAAGAGGTGGTTCTTTTCTCCTCAAGAAGTGGACCACTTTGCAGTTATTCTCCTCATTTTCTATTAAATAAGAGTTTCAAATGTTGCATTTTAGTGACATTTTAAGCACAAATTTTTGGATGAGCTTGTCGGATGGTCATCATGACCACACTTTTTGCTGCAACAAGTATATTTCCTACATTTTTGTCAAGTGCTTCTCAAACTATTTTATGTTTACAAAAATGTGTTTATTTACGAATGTAAATTTAAAATGTACGTTATAACGTTACAATTTAAAGTACAAATGTTTAACAAAAAAATAAGTGAAATGCTCATTTATCATCCATCAATAAAAAAAACAATTAGCAATCTGTTTAAAACTTGTTTTACAGAGGTGGTCCACTATGTTATCATATTTTAAACTTTAGTTGATGTGTAATGTAGCTGTGTGAACATAAACAACATCTCTGAATGAATGACGCTCAAAGTTCAATGTAAAGGGAGACAGTGGCTTTTACAGAGTTAACTTAGGTTTTTTTTTCCAAGCACATACTGCACAACCAAGGGGTGTGGCCAGAGGCGCTGTAATGTTACAGCAGAGAAAGCTAAAATGCGTCCAAACGCTGCTATTTCCACAGAGCTTCTCTGTTTCTGTATTTGGGCTTCCAAATGACACGACACAAAGACAGAAGTGCTTACAGTTCAGTATTAATTTTGTTCCAGAGAATTATAAAATACATAGCAAGCATGATTTGACAAAACAGCTTCCAGAATCTCTCCCAGTTCAGTGCTGGATTCGGTTAAAATCTCCTCAAAGAAGGAGCAGCTCCAACAAGCAAAAGCTGTGGACTCACAACCTGTAAGTGTTTTTATTTGTTAAAAATTAATCATGACATGCACAGTGTCTAGCTTTAACCGTATGCTGTAGCTAAGATGTAAACAACAGGAAATGGTGTTTGGCACCGCTAACAATTTTAATTCACCAGCGCGTGCGTGTCTCCCAATAAGCAGCTTTTCTGTGTGTTCTACATCTCAGGAAATGATCTTGCAAGAGATATGTGGACGATTCATATTACTTACATTTGCATATTCCGAATATATGTGAAAGACGTTGTGTAACATGTTGAGTTAGGTAATAAAATATAGGAGAGCTCTCCTAACTCGTGTTGCAGCAGAAAAATCAACCAAAGCTCACACAGGTCACATCCCACATCTTGTGCTTTATTCTTCTGTCAGTGGTGTCACTTTACATACAATGGTGATCACTCTTAAAGAAGCCACACCCCATTTTCACTCGTTATAGACACTAGTTACATTTTATTTTAGACAGCGTGCATGAGGTTGACTGACTGTTTACACAGCACAAAAGCGCGTGCTTGTGCGTGGTGTGATGTGGAGCCGATCCGCGAATTACAGCACATTATGATAGATGACCAATCAGAGTCACTTGAGGGCGGGTCTTTCGGAGAAGCTTGGAAATATGACAGCCATTTTCATGTTAGCTGAGTAGCTGTATTGACCTTATTCTAAAATGCGGAAGTGCGCCTGTTATTGCGATTGTTTTAGAACTTCAGATTTAGTTGCCTATGGGAGAAATGACTAGTAATTATAAACGGCAGAAAATGGTCAAACTACTTGCTCTACAAACAAATGTTTGCATGACTATACAGACCAAGTAGAATATTATATAAAGAAAATGTCAGTTTGCAACATCAAACAGTGAAACAAGCCGGTTTTAATGTTTAAAAATGAATGGAAGTGAATGAGACCTGAAGTCTCCAGCCAAAAAGATTCAAATGGCTGCGCCCACTAGTCGGCTAAGAATAAGGTGAATATAATCAAAGTGAGATTTATGAAAAAATAACAATGTGATTTCCTTCAAGTGAAACATGAGCACACATTGCTTTGCATCTTATAAACACACCTAAGCCTTAAAATTACGTTCTGGACAACCCCTTTAAATTCAAAACTGTAGCCTACAGGCAAATAACATCTGGCCAGCTCATTTCCTCAGTCAGAATTAGTCAATTTAAATAATAATTAATAATTACATTTGTCTTAAAGCTTTTTTTCTATCAGTTATTTTAAAAATCTGTTTCAAACTTCAGACAAAAGAGCTTATATATGGGCCAAATTCTGAACTTTGTAAGGGAGTGGGTCTTTTGAACCACTCGAATCTCCCTGCGCCTGTACACAACATAATAATATAATCCCAGTGAGCGGCAGGCTCTGTAATTCTTAGTTAAACAAGGTGGTGTAAATTGAACTGAGAAAGAGAGCCAGTCGTTACTGCCACCTGCTGGTGTGATTGAAACATTACAGCTTTCTTTAATTCTGTAAATGTTCTGTGATTTTCTAGATATCTGTACCTGCTGTTCTCCAGTGACGAGCTGCTTCCTCTGGAGAACTGGGTGTTCAACACGGAGGCTCATCCTCTGCCCGTCCTGCACCTGGGCAACATCACCCTGCCGGGCAGCGAGAGCCAGCGGTAGAGAGGACAGACAGGGGGGCGCTCTCCCCCTCAACCGCCCCTTTACTGAACACCTCCCTCCTCCTGAAAGACAGCAGAGGAGAGAACTGAACCCCACAACCACTGTCTCCTCCTGCACTGTGAATCATGGGACTGCAGTGAACGCAGGAGACCCCATCATGTCTCTCTATCTCTCTCTCTCTCATGTATTCTCTGAACGACAAACTGGTGGATTGATCAATTAGCGGACAAAAAAGACGCGCGTTTCTCACCAGGGAAGGATTTTATCAAGATTGTTCTATTTGTTTTTCTCCAGTTTGGTGGCGTTTCATGACTTGGTGGATGAATGCTTTTCGGACCAGCCTCTTTCGCTTTCCGAGACGGCAGATGTGGCCTCCTGTGATTTCCTTTTCTGGGCACACGGGGATGTTCAGGATTTCTTCTCAACGTCTCGTTCTTGAGGTTAGCGGGTAAATTATGGACATGTGCTGCTGTCGAACAGCTGTGAAATCTTCACCACCGTCATTCCAGAAATCCTGCGCTTTCAGTGTTTCTCCATTCACGTCTTCTCCTCAGAAAGTACTGCTTTCTGATTGGTGGATGGGTTTGTTTCGGCTCTCTATGAATCAGTAACACTTGAAGCAGAAGTCGCAGCTCTTTCAATGCTAATGCTATCGGTTGTCACCATTTGTTTTCATTTGTCAATAGTGCCGCTTTGTTAGACCAGACCAGATTTTTTTTTCAGCAGCTGAGATTCACCACTAATCATAGCCAACGAGATAGAGATTTATATATTATAAATATATGGGGTTTAGAGTTCAGAAAATACACTGTGTGTGTGTGTGTGTGTGTGCGTGTGTGTACAAGAAGCTCAGAGTCGGTAAAACACAAACTAGATATTTTGCATACAACTTAACAACAATGCCAATGATGTAGGTTTTGTCACGGGACGAATGATGTTCAACTGCGGTCGTTTGTTTTATTTTCAGGTTGTCATTCCAGTTTCTGGTTTTCATTAAAAGCTAAAGCATATCTCTGAAGATCTCATGTGAGTTTTAGCGTGACTTATTCCCTGATGTGTTTTCTCAAACACCGACTCCTGACATCAGATGAGTTTGAGCAAACACAACCTGCAGCCAGTCCTAATCAAGTATTTCATTTGCTTTTATTTATTTATTTCTTTTGGCTTAATAGACCTTTAATGAATATTGATTCAGTCTCTTTTTGAAGACGCTTTCAGCCTTATTCTGCTCTTTTTTTTATTTTCAAGTGTGTAAAATGGCACATTCACAGAACATGTAGTCCACACGCAGAAGGAAAAGCTGATTATTTCCTCTAAGCTCTGTTTGAGGATCAATCCATCTCAAAGCACCGTTGATGAGATGCTGGGTGCCATCGATCAGCTCTTTTTCTCTCTTTGCTTTCAGTTCCTGTCTGAAGGAGACCCGTGTGTGCTCTCCTCTCCTCTAGGTGGCAGCAGTGGCGTCCGAAGTGTGTCATTTCAGTTCTTTTCTCCCACAGTAACATGACTTTGACTAATGGTGAGTGAAGCCCAGGCAAACGCTCTTCCCTGTTGTTACTGGGTGGGTTTTGAAAAAGCTGTGTTCTGTATTTGTATTTTTACTGAACAAAGAAGACAACAAAATATTGTAAATATGTTTAAAAGGACACAAATTCAATAAAGATGTTACAAAAAAGTGAACAGGATAAAGCAAACGCCTTTATTGTGCAGTCTTTTCTTTATGGCCTTTCTAGATGACGCTTTTTTGTGAAAATCCATGTTATCGATTTAATTAATGTTAATATTTTAAAAGGTCACCTCAAAATATTGCTAGTAATACACCCTCATGCCAAGATGTAGGTGACTTTTTTCTTCAGTAGAACGTTTTGAGATTGTGAGCAAAAATCTGGGTCTTAAATACTTTTAACCACTTTTAAAAATACTTTTTTAAACTGCTACCATCTAGTATGGCAGTGTTTCTCAACCACGTTCCTGGAGGACCACTAACACTGCATGTTTTGGATGTCTCCTTTGTCACAGCCATTACTGGTCTTTCAGTCTCTGCTAATGAGCTGATGATCTGAATCAGGTGTGTTTGTTTAGAGAGACACGGTAAATGTGCAGAGCTGGTGGTTCTCCAGGAGCGGGGTTAAGAAACACTGTTTTATACTATAGTTTTTAAATATTAGGTGGCATGGTGGCATTTGCATGTTCTCCCTGTGTTTGTGTGGGTTTTCTCTGAGTGTTTTGGTTTCCCCCACAGTCTAAAGACATGCGCTATAGGGGAATTGAATAAACTAAATTGGCTGTAGTGTGTGTGTGTGAATGTGCGAGTGTATGGATGTTTCCCAGTACTGTGTTTTGGCTGGAAGGGCATCCACTGTGTAAAACATATGTTAGAAAAGTTGGTAGTTCATTCAGCTGTGGTGAATTCCGATAAATTAGGGACTTAGCCAAAGGAGAATGAATGATTGTATAAATTACAGTAAAATGTTAAACAGGGTGAGGCAGTGGCGCAGTAGGTAGTGTTGTCGCCTCACAGCAGGAAGGTCGTGGGTTGCTGGTTCGAGCCTCGGCTCAGTTGGCGTTTCTGTGTGGAGTTTGTATGTTCTCCCTGCGTTCGCGTGGGTTTCCTCCGGGTGCTCCGGTTTCCCCCACAGTCCAAAGACGTGGTACAGGTGAATTGGGTAGGCTAAATTGTCTGTTGTGTATGACTGTGTGTGAATGAGTGTGTGTGGATGTTTCCCAAAGATGGGTTGCGGCTGGAAGGGGATCCGCTGCGTAAAAACGTGCTGGATAAGTTGACGGTTCTTTCCGCTGTGGCGACTCCAGATTAATAAAGGGAATAAGCCGACAAGAAAATGAATGAATAGTAGTGAAAATTATAATAATAATAATAAAAGTGAAAAGATAATAATGATAATATTAGTGAAAATAATAGTGAAAATGAAAATAATGATATAAGTAAAAATATTAATAATAGTGAAAAAATAATGATGAAAATGATATAGTAAAAAATGATAATAGTGAAAAATGATGATAATATTAGAGAAAATAATAATAATAATGAAATAATAATAGTGAAAATGATTTATTGCACGCCTCTCGCTAGTGCCCATATACAGCCATATTGCACTGATACTCGTGTGATATTGCTCATATATTGGTGCTCTACCAATAAAAACTGTTCTTGGTTTAATCTTTATAAAAGTTTTACCTTGTAATCTTTTTACAATCCTGAAGGACGTGAAATTCATTGATCTAAAGCTATGAAGCCTGTAGCTTTTATAGGAACATCCTCAGTATTTAGCTTGAAACAAGCAACAGCGCATACGTTTCCGTTGTCTCAGTAATAATAACATTTAGCCGTGCTGTGTGTTTGTTTGAAGGCCTTCATGCTCTTGTGCTCTTGGCAGCACACGCTGATATTATAGGTCGTGGTGAACTGGCACATCACCCTGCTCTTCTTCTTCACGTCATCAGCAAATACCACTTCACATATGGTTTTGTTCTCTGGATTTAGCAGAAACAGCAGATTTGAGGGGAGAAATTCCTCTTTTTTTTGTGTGTGTGTGTGTGTGTGTGTGTGTGTGTGTCGGGACAGGATGGCTGGCTGGCTGACAGAGGTCGTGATCTGAGTGTCATTTGCCCTCTTTCAACAACTCTTAGTGACACACTGTGACCCCATGGATCATCTGCTGAATACATGCTGACTGATCTCTGCCTTCATATCTGAATAAGACCACTAGCGGAAATGTATTGTACATTTTACTAATGAAATATGCAGTTGTTTTGTTTTTAAGAACTTAATTTTACCATTGCATTATTATAACAGGAATAAGAACAAATGGTAAATCTTATTCTCAGCAAGCTTCATTTATAAATTAAGTGACTCTACTGAAAAACTATTTATAAAAAATGAGGTAAATAAAGATTGTTATTGTGCTTATCAATATCCTGGATCTTAAGTTCTCCCAATGGCACCACTTTATAGTCAATGGCTTTATAAAAATTTTAGTCATTTACATGACTTGTAATTGTTTTAAGTGCATTTGGGGGGTGAAACACACACACACACACACACACACACACACACACACACACATATATATATATATATATATATATATATATATATATATATATATATATATATATATATATATACATATACATACATACACACACACACACATATATATATATATATATATATATATATATATACACACACACATATATATAAATTTATACATATATGTGTATGTATATATATATATATATATATATATATATATATATATATATATATGTGTTTGTGTCTTTTATTATTATATTTTATTTTAAATTAAATTTATTATATATATTTATATTATTACATTATTTTAGGTATAATATAACCCTTAGGTCAGAACACAAGTCAGATATAAAAGCGAGCAATACACTTGGAAAATCAGCATGTTGCAATGCAAAAACTTTACAGTAGAAAGAAAAAAAAACAAGCACGGTCACAGTGAACCAGGTAGGTCAGTTGGCAACTCCTAATGATAGCATAGCGATTACACATCACACAGAGGCTGAACCACTGGAGAAATGAAACATGAGCATATGGAGCACTGCTTACTAATATCCTCCTCACTAAATGCTTGTGCTAAGTTTGATTTAAACCATGCTGGAACAAAACAAATCTTACAGGTAAAACAGCATTGAAAATGCTATAGACCCTTTCACACTTCCAGGTTCTCCGTAGCGGAAGGCTTCATGGTTGGGTAAACTTAGAGCTCAGTTAATGGGAAAATACAACAAATATTTTTTGTACTATCTTGTTTGCTGAAATAATAAAATAAAACCTCCACGGTGATGTTACTTACAGACTTACAGAAAAAGGAAATAATAGTGTGAGATTGATGGGGGCAGCCAGAGGAGAGAATAACGTCAAATTTACTCTCAGCCCTATAGACGCTGCATTAGAAACACCTCGCATAAGCGCTAATTCATTTTTTGTAATATGAAGCAAAGATGATATAATACATACAAAAATGCATATAAATGTTCATTCGTTTGAAAACAAATCTAAATATTAAAAACTTTCAAGTATTTAAGATGCTGATGACCCTTAAATGCATCATAACATGCTTGTGAAAAGGGTCAATTTAAAAAAAAAAAAAGTGTACACAGACTTGCAGTTCAGAAGTTTACTTGCCCTTGTGTGTGTCTACTTGACTGGCTATTCACACCAGGTTCCATTTGAAAAGGCTCATCTGTGCCCTAATCCCCTCAGAAGGACTCAGAATTAAATGCAGTGTGTGATGAAACTGCTAGAGATCATGGCCCTCAGTTGTACCTTATTAAATCCTTCATTCCGAAGGACTCTTTGAATTTTGAGCACTTCGATTTGAAATGACACTAAAATGGCGGCCATGAGTGTTTTCACTAATGTGCAGTTAGTCTTCAATGCTGCAAAATAAAACTGAGTATCAGTCACTTTCCGTCAGCTTATTCCCTGTTTATCAGGGGTTGGCACAGTGGAATGGAGCACCAATTATTTTGGCTTTTTTTCTTTGGATGCCTTTCCAACTGCAACCCAGCACAAAATATAACCCTCAGTTCTAGGAAACATTTACACACACACACACGCATACACTATGGCCATTAATCCATATCACCTATACCACATTGCCGTGGACTGTGAAAGAAAACCTGAACAAACCTATGCAGACACAGGGAAAACATGCAAACTCCACACTGAATGACCAACTGGGACTCAAACCAGCAACTTTCTTGCTGTGTGACGATAGAGCTAACCACTTAGCCACCATGCTGCTCCAAGTGTATCTCATTTCTTCAATCAAATGTTGATTTTGGTTAAGACTGCCCAGGTAAATGAGGTGTCATGATGCTTATCATTAAGTTTTTACAGATACTTCCCTCACGGCCCACGGGTGTGTTTTTGTGGTATAAAATATGTTTGAAGCCGCACCTTGGTCATAACGAGGTTATTCATCCATGACGAGTTTCATAAGATGATGTATGTCTGATCTGACCTTTAGTGTAACCACAGCACTTAACGGGCACCCCCACAGAAAGCAAGATTACTACAGATAAAGATCAAACTTTAAAGTTCTTGTACAGTCATTCATTCATTCATTCATTTGCTTTCTGGCTTTGTCCCTTATTAATCAGGGGTCGCCACAGCGCAATGAACCGCTTGTTAAAGTATACAGCCTAAATAAAATAAAGTACCATCCACACCCCTGTTAGCCATACTGTTATGCTGTAAGAATCTATATTGTTAGAATCACTGTCAGATAATTAATAATATTAAAATCCAATCACAAATCAATTAAAAATGTAGGATGTTGATGACAATGGTTTACTCATAAATCCTTAAAAGCTGATTTTTTAAAAAGCAAAACAAAAATTAAAGCGTTCCTGGCACAAAGGGTCGTGTCCATCAGTTGTATTGTACCCTAAGAAATCCTTCATTACAAAAAGTCCTTCTACGTAGACCTGGGGTGTCCAAACTCGGTCCTGGAGGGCCCGTGTACTGGAGGGTTTAGCTACAACCCTAATCAAACACACCTGAACCAGCTTCTTCTTCAGCAATTGGCAATTTTGGACCGGATTTGGACAGAGATAACTACTGTACTCTATTACTTTTTATTCCCCTCACCACCCATTTCATCTTTTAATTCTTTTCATACCACATCTATGC